AAAAAAAAAAAGGGAAAAACGCGCGACCTCCTCCGTCCTCAGGCACCGGTCTCAGGCACCCGCCCCCAGGTCTCGCAGGGAGAAACGCGGGATATTCTTTGTCCTCCGGCGCCGTTCCCAGGCACCTCCTCACCGGTCCCGCCACCCTGCCTCCCCAGCAACGGGGGCCCGTCCCTCTAAGGCTTCCAAAAAGCGCTCGCCAAAAAAAAAAAAAGCTCCGGTTTCTCTCCACCCGCCGGGAGCCGGGGGGAGGGGCGCTCGGGTCCCGCCGGGCCAGGGCTTGTATCTTACCCCCTTAGCAAGGCGCTGGGTTCTTGCAGGTGTGGATGTGGTCTGGATGTTGTCCTGTGTCCTGTGGTTTCTATTTTAGGAAGATTTTTCTTTATTATATTTTCATAGCTCTATGTGTTTTTGGGAGGAGATTTCCACTGCTCTACTCACGCCGCCATCCTGGCTCCGCCCCTTGTTTCCTATTTTTATTGTTTGTATGTATATGTGTTTGACAGATATAGGGTTCTACATTTTATAAATAATGAAGGCACTGTTCACTTAACATAGTTAGTACTTATTTTTCTGAAAATAAAAGTTTACAACTAGGTTGTAAATTTTTACCAGAGAATGATACTTTAGCTTATTATACCCTTAACAGGAAGAAATATTTTTTTGTAAAATAATCTGAAGTTGTTTTCTGGATAGTTTTATTAAAGTAAAAGATAAAAACCTGTCAGCAGTTATAGCATATTCCTATTCCTGCGCAGACTGAGAATTAAAAACAATAACATCCAAACTCTTCCCTTTGTCCTTTTGTCTTTTTAAATAGGAATTATCATTTTAATTCATACATTTATTCATCTAACAAGTGCTTATCGAATATCTCATATATGCTGGGTGCTCTTCTTAGAGATTAAAGTAGTCCTCCCTTATCTGTGGTTTAAGTTAACCGTGGTCAACCACTGTCTGAAAGTAGATGGCCCTCCTTTTGAGGTATGGTCGGAAGATCAATAGTAGCCTAATGTTATGTCATAATGCCCAGATCATTCACCTCACTTTATCTCATCATATAGGCATTTTATCATCTCACATCATCACAAGAAGACTGAGTATAGTATAATAAGATACTTTGAGAGATCACATTTGCATAATTTGTATTACACTATACTGTTATAATTGTTCTATTTTTTAATTAGATATTGTTAATCTATTACTGTGACTAATTTATGATTAAAGTTTATCATAGGAATGTATGTATAGGAAAAGCACAGTATATATAGCATTCGGTACTATTCATGGTTTCAGCTATCTACAGGGGATTTTGGAATGTATCCACCACAGATAAGAGGGGTTACCATAGACATATATAAATGAAGTTTGATGCCATTTTACCCAACAGTCACATTCATTAGTGTATCAAGGGTTAAGTAAATTACCAAGAGACACACATTTGAGTGATAGCTAGTACTCTTACCAAAGTACCAATGGACATTTGGGAGAAAAGCATCCAAGGGGTTTCTCGGGTAGAGTTTGTCCCTTTAAACAAGGGAAAATTATTTAAGTAGGTTTGGAATTCAGGGTGCTACAAGTCAATTATCCTAAACTTTTTACTTTTTTAATACATAGGACATATCTACACTAAAGTTAGCAAGGTGGTGAACTAAGGAGTCGTACATTTTTCCTCATTTCATTTTTCCCAGTATTCCCGTGTCCTGGTCTATCATAAGGCAAAGGTCTTCAGATTTTTCATTGGTCATGTGGGTGTGAATGTCAGTTGAGCTAACTGCCATGGAGCAGAACTCAAGTTCGATTCATATGTTAGTCATTTTTTATTTCTGAGGAAGCTAAGACAGGAACAACCTTGGAATAGTCATTCAATAATTGGAGTAAGCTTATGTTGGCACCATACTTTGCCATCAAACTTAGATATCTAGCCCAAACTTTGTTGAAAATTATTTATGTCTTACATACAGATAACTCCTCTTCAAATTCCTTGGACAATATGAAATTTTAATATGTAAACTAGCAAGTCATTTGTAGAGCTATAAACACCTGGGCAGGTATACATGCAATCACTTGACAGAATATAGAGTAGAGTTTTTGTTAAAGAAAAATGTGCCATCTTAGAACAGAAAAGTACAATAGAACTTTGTACAGTAATGGAAATGTTCTGTATTTGTACTGTTCAATGCAATAGCCACTACACATGTGTAGTTATGAAAACTTAAAATGTGGCTAGTGAGACTGAAGAACTGATTTTTAGATTTTATTTAATTTTAATTAATTAAGATTTAAGTTTAAATTCTTGTGGCTAATAGCTTCCATATTGGACAGAACAGTCATAGAAGATAGAAAAGCAATATGGACATTGTCCATTATCTGGTATATATATTCAACTATCACCTTGAAAATTTGAAAAATCTATCTTGTAAGATTACTGTCACTTCACATAAAATAAAAGACAATGAAGATGTTATTCTTGGGTTTTTCAACCAATATCAATTCACCCTCATTTGCTTGAGAAAGCAAAGGTCAATTGAAACTTCAGGCAAACGTGTAAGACTAAACTCTAAATATATAAACACAAACTACACAAATATAAATATGTAAAATTAAAGCCAGCACATTTTTTCCCAGTCATAAATACAAGAACTTAAGAGTATTTAGTTGGTCTTTTTATACTATATTATATATAGTAGTTTCCCTTATATATTTCTAATAACACTTTAAATTATTAAAAATGTAATTATTAATTAATATAAGTCTGTATCAGTACCATTATTAAATAGATTGTTATCAGTTTTCTCTCAGCTAGAATTAAATTTCATTACATTAGTGAAATATATTTACTCACCACCATATCCCTGGTGCCTGGAAGAATGCTGTGACCATATTAGTCATTCAATATTGGCATGACAAGAATTAACAAAATAGTACTAAGTGCCATTGATTTTTATGAAGTGCAATATAGAACTTTTTAACCCATCAATGAGATATTCTAGATTTGAACCTTCCTAAAAGCCCTTTGAAATATTTTTACAAAAATAAGAGTATCACTTATCGCTAAGGTTGTTTATATCAAATTATAATAGTAAATGCTGTATTTATATTTGATATTATTGTCCTAAAATTCTATTTGATCTTAAAATACATAATTGAAGAATAGATTTCAGTTTGCTAATTTTCACACTTGTAAATAGAAATGACATGAAGAATGTTACCTCTGCTGTTTATTCAAAGTGAAGGCATATTGTTTATTGGTTTATATGAACATGATATTAATAGAATGCTTACTTTAGTTGTATGAATTAAAGGCAAGATAACAATATACATTGATTACCTCATATGAAAAATTTTTAAATCACATTGGCAGAAACATGATATTAATTAATATTTTTGAAATGCTACCTTATATTTCATAATAAACATCTTTCACCAAGATACATTATAGTTCTGGGTTTGAATAAAAGTCTGTGAATCTCAGCAAAAAAAGAAATATCTTCAAGCAATTCATGAAGAGAAAGGTAGATGTACTTGAGTACTGTACAAGATTATATACAGGCAACTACAACACTTTGGTAATTTTTAAAGATAAGTGATCACACAATCTCACCATATAATCTAGTGGTCCCTGAAAATGTGATGTCCTTTATTAGTTTCTAACTTTTAGAGTCTTGTTTTAACACAGGTATTACAAAATTATGAATAAAACCTTCAGATATTATCCTGTTCTTTTATGGCAGATCACATAAGTGGGAGATCAATAACTGATCCTTGCCACATGTGAGCAACTTTTGTTTAAAAAAAATGCATTGACGAATTAAAAATTATTGTATGTGTGTGTAAAAAGAATCATAAGTCACGTATGTAATAAGTATCTTCAGGTCCTCTTCTGATCTTTACAGCCTCCAAGTATCTTGTCATACTCCTCATTTCTGTCACAGTGCTAAAATAACAATTGGATTGGATTACCCCCGAGAGCCAGTCAGCTAGCAAGATGACTGTGTATCTGTGTAGGGTTCATCTTATAGTTTAGAGAGGGCCCTTTTAAATTTTTTTATTTTCTTTTGATAAATTATACTTAGTCAAAATTAAGATAACTGGCTATTTAAATGAGTTGTTAAGAGTGTGAGACCCTTTGTGTGCTGATAAGCAGCAGTAATTAAGAGAGCCTATGTACATTAAGTATTTTACAATTTTATATTAACTTAACCTCCTGCTTGGCGGATTTGGGGGAAGCTAGAACCAGAGGAGACTGCTTTTGAGAAACAGTCCCATAATCTGACTTCATGGACATGAAGGGAAAACAGTTGCTGTTTCAAGCTATATTTTCTAATTTTACATTTTGGCATGTGAATCATTCCATTGTCTTTGACGCTTTGTGTTATTGATTTCCAAGAAAATTTCACTTTTAACATTTGTTTCTATAGAAAAAAAAAAGGAAATTCTGTGTATTTTATCTAAGTTTTATTCTTACCAGAGTTTGTGTATTCTCTCCTTCTGCCAAAGGTTTTAGGTGTTACTAGGTGTGTGCTTTTGTCTTGGATGAATATGTTACACTTGATTGTTACTTTTGATGGTGAAAAGGCATTCTAGACAACTGAAATCTACAATAAAATATTGTAATTCATTTGGAGTAACCATGGTTAATTCATGTATAACTTCATTCACCCTATGAAACAACAATAATTCTTTCAAAATTCGACATAGTTCTTCCTTTCAAAAACTTTAATAGTTTACATAGAGTTACATTTATTACCCTAAAATGCTGTTAACCAAAAAAGTCTCAGAATATCTTCTAGCACAACTCTCTAATTTTACAAATGCCTAGAGATGTTAAGCATTTGCTGTGCTCAGAATATTAGTTATAAGCAGACTTAGGGCTTAGACCTCAAGTCTTCTGGCACCTATTCCTGAGCTGGTCCTATGCCATGTGCTTCAAGAAATTGAAAACTGGTTTCATTATATAATAGCATACTTTAAAATACCTATCATTCTATGTTTTCCAGGGTCAAAGTATGTTTGGGCTTGATGTCATCGAAACACCAGAAGGAGATAAGATGCCACAGCTGATTGTTCAAAAGGAGTTAGACAGGGAAGAGAAGGATACATATGTAATGAAAGTAAAGGTTGAAGACGGTGGCTTTCCTCAAAGATCCAGTACTGCTATTTTGCAAATAAGTGTTTCTGATACAAATGACAACCACCCAGTCTTCAAGGAGAGTGAGATTGAAGTCAGTGTACCAGAAAATGCTCCTGTAGGTACATCAGTGACACAGCTCCATGCTACAGATGCTGACATAGGTGAAAATGCCAAGATTAACTTCTTTTTCAGCAATCTAGTCTCCAACATCGTCAAGAGGCTATTTCATCTCAACACTACCACTGGACTTATTACAATCAAAGAACCACTGGATAGGGAGGAATCACCAAACCACAAGTTATTGGTTTTGGCCAGTGATGGTGGATTGATGCCAGCCAGAGCAATGGTGCTAGTAAATGTTACAGATATCAATGATAATGTTCCATCAATTGACATAAGATACATCATCAATCCAATCAATGGCACTGTGGTTCTTTCAGAAAATGCTCCACTCAACACCAAAATTGCTCTCATAACTGTGACAGATAAAGATGCTGACCATAATGGTAGAGTGACATGCTTCACAGATCATGAAGTTCCTTTCAGATTAAGGCCAGTGTTCAGTAATCAGTTCCTCCTGGAGACTGCTGCATATCTTGATTATGAGTCCACAAGAGAATATGCCATTAAATTACTAGCTGCAGATGCTGGCAAACCCCCTTTGAATCAATCATCCATGCTCCTCATCAAAGTGAAAGATGAAAATGACAATGCTCCAGTTTTCACCCAGCCTTTCATAAGTATTTCCGTTCCTGAGAACAACTTTCCTGGTGCCCAGTTGACAAAAATAAGTGCAACTGATGCAGATAGTGGGCGTAATGCTGAGATCAGTTACCTGCTAGGTGTTGATGCACCATCTGAATTCAACCTGGATTACCGTACAGGCATTCTGACAGCAGTAAAGAAACTGGACAGAGAAAAACAAGAAAAATATTCCTTCACAGTTCTGGCAAAAGATAATGGGATACCACATTTAACAACCAATGCCACTGTCTTAGTGACGGTTCTTGATCAGAATGACAACAGTCCAATTTTCACTCACAATGAGTACAACTTCTATGTCCCAGAAAACCTTCCAAGACATGGCACAGTAGGACTAATCACTGTAACTGACCCTGATTATGGAGAAAATTCTGCAGTCACTCTCTCCATTTTAGATGTGAATGATGACTTCACCATTGATCCACAGACTGGTGTGATCCGACCAAATATTTCATTTGATAGAGAAAAACAAGAATCTTATACTTTCTATGTTAAGGCTGAGGATGGTGGTAGGGTATCACGTTCTTCAACTGCCAAAGTGACCATAAATGTGGTTGATGTCAATGACAACAAACCAGTTTTTGTTGTCCCTTCTTCCAACTACTCCTATGAATTGGTTCTGCCATCCACGAATCCAGGCACAGTGGTCTTCACGGTAGTTGCTGTTGACAATGATACTGGCATGAATGCAGAGCTTCATTACAGCATTGTAGGAGGAAACACAAAAGGTCTATTTATAATTGACCACACAACAGGCAACATTACACTGAAGGATAAATGCATTGCTGCAGACCTCGGTTTACACAGACTGGTCGTCAAAGCTAAGGACTTAGGACAACCTGACTCACTCTTCAATGTTGTAATTATTAATCTATTCGTGAATGAGTCAGTGACCAATGCTACACTGATTCATGAATTAGTGCGCAAAAACATTGAAACACCAGTGACCCAAAATATTGAAACAGCAGATGCAACCTCACCAACCAGTGACTACGTCAAGATCATGGTTGCCATTGTTGCTGGTACTGTAACTGTCATCCTTGTTATTTTCATTACTGCTGTAGTACGATGCCGCCAGTCACCACACCTTAAGGCTGCTCAGAAAAACAAGCAGAATTCTGAATGGGTTACTCCAAACCCAGAAAGCAGGCAGATGATAATGATGAAGAAGAAGAAGAAGAAGAAGAAGAAGCATGCCCCTAAGAACTTGCTGCTTAATTTTGTACATATTGAAGAAACCAAGGTGGATGATGCTGACAATGATGGCAACAGCATCACACTGGACCTGCCCATTGAGCTGGAAGAGCAAACCATGGGCAAGTACAACTGGGGAACTACACCTACGACTTTCAAGCCTGATAGCCCTGATTTGGCCCGGCACTACAAATCTGCCTCTCCACAGCCTGCTTTCCAGATCCAGCCTGAAACTCCCCTGAATTTGAAGCACCACATCATCCAGGAACTGCCGCTTGATAATACTTTTGTGGCCTGCGATTCCATCTCCAAGTGTTCCTCCAGCAGTTCTGATCCCTACAGTGTTTCTGAGTGCAGCTATCCAGTGACAACTTTCAAGACCCCTGTGTCTGTGCACACCAGAATGGTAGGTAATCCAAGTTTCTAAATAACCTTTTAAACTTTATTTTATTTTAAAAATTATTTTCAGTTGAAGTAAAACTTTGCAGAATCTACTGACTTCAAGGAAGGATCAAAACTATCATATCGTTCAGTAGTATCCAAAGGTACATACACTTACTTTACATTTGACAGAAAATCAGAAAAAAATAACTTACTGTCATTGGGAGCAGAATGATGATTATAATAAGGGCAATGCTATCTGTAGATGGCCGTATGATACTTCTTGCTAGAGAATATACTGGACAACTCCAAAATAAAGGTTCATGGCACTGTCCTCAGCACCATTGTGTGCATGAGGATCAGAACATGTGGGCTAGGTACATCACAGTAAAGCTTTTTAGAATGTGATAAGCAGGTCTTAATACTTAATGGTGTCAAGAATCCCAGCTTCACTTGGGAAAAACCTGTTTGCCCAGGATAACAAAATAGCATCAAGATATCCTCCCTACTTGCTATGCTCCCAAACTCCCACAATAAAGAGAATGTCACTTTTAGATTAGGAATGCACCATTATACTGATTCATAAAATCTATATTCACACAATATGGCAAGAATGGGATTAGCAAAATGAAAGCATGCTTCTCACTCTCATCTTCAAGCAAGAGAATGAAATATATATGAGATCTCTATTTTAGATATTCATTTAAGTATTTGCAAAGTTACACAAGGACTCAGAGCCCTTCAGGAGATATTCTTAAAAGATAATGACTTTTGGAAAATGAAACATGTTTGTTTTTTCCAATGGGCCCAGAGGAAAGTGTGGGCATATTAAGATCCAAGAAATCTATGTACAATAATTCAAAACCCAATAAATTTATGAAAAGAAGAGTTTATAGAGTGATTTTTATCTATGTTCTGTGAAGAAATAAAGAAAAATTTATCTAGAAATGCAGAAATAAATTGTTTAAGTTTGGTTATTTCCTCAATAAAGTCAAGTGATGGAATTTATCTACATTTATTCTCTCAAACTCATGACACATGTTGACGTTAGTATTTTGTCTGCATTACTCCTAAAAGGTCTTCTTCTCAGTTTCAGTGAATAAAGAGTTTGAAAACTTATTCAGGCTTAATACAATGCTTGTAATGTGAAAGTCAAACAGGTTTTGTGTAACCAAAGTTAGAGATTTAAGGAAGTTTATCAGGATTCAAAATAACAAAATAATTTACCACAAGTTAGGAAATAATTTTAAGAATCGAGATCATTCAAGGATATGCATAGTTAAATTATACAATAACATCAACCTTTCTTAATCACAAAGTGAAGGTCGGATCCTAATTCAATTGTAGATACATTTTTTGATTGGAATATAGTTGATAGGTCCATAATTATGCTATTGTAAATGGTAAACTAGAGCGCTAGTCTCTGTGTAGAAGATTTCAGGTAAGTGTTACTGAGTTTACAGGGCAGTGGTTATTTCTACAGTTGGAATGAGCCTGGTGTTTTCCTACCTAGGTGGATCTTAGGTGGGTGGCAAGCACTGTAGATGCTTAATATCTGCTCAGGGTGTGTTTTTGTTTACATTCAGCCATTCAAAAGGTTGCTTTTATTTTTTAATTCTTATTACTATTATTCTGTTTATTGGACACATTTCTCAACAGAAAAGTGTCTTTATGAATAACTATTTGTGTTGTGTATCCTAATAGCACTTTTCCCTGAATTAAGACTCACTTAAAAATGTATACAAAGGGTGGGGTTTGTGAATTGCACTGGCAGATCATCATTTTCAGTAGATTGGCTCATGAAGTTTGTTAAAGAAAGCAAATTCTGGTTTCAACTCTTCTTGAAGGCGTGGAGATGTTTTATTAGCTAGACTTATTTTACTTAAGCATGTAAACCATACAGTAAGCAAGGCATGGAAGAAAGAAAAATATTGAAGTATTTTCTAAATATCTTCTTTTTAAAATTTATTGATACTTTGTAACCCTTTAAAATCAATAAAATGAATCACTTTTTCCATGATGGGATTCCATTTTATTATCTAAAAGATATTTTCCTAAATACAGGAAAAATAACTTCATGAAATAGACAAAATAAGAAAATAAATGCTAATGAAAGTAAGTTTTTGGTTATCATTAGGTACTTACTAGATAAAACTATTTTAGAGTCAATGAGTTCTCTGATAACTTATTCTGTTTTTTTTACATCTTAACAAAAAAGGTAAGTCATATATTTTTTGTCATTAATCGTTTCAGATTACTTACTATATATCTTTTGGGCATGAATTGGTAAACTTGAACAGATTAAAATGGTACTAAAAATAACTTGTATCTATATACTCTTCATTTGCTGATCAATGCCAGAGGAGGCATCTTATATTCGCTCATGTTGCAGAATGCTAACAAGCACTGAAAAAGAACTCATGTATTTAAAAATTCAAATACAGTAGGTGTCTTCTTTTGAAAGAAACATCATACAAAATGAGGTAAAGGTATCAGCTAATGTGATGAAAATTCATTGTTCCTTAAGAAAATTCTAACAGTGGGATAAAATACTATTGTTTGAAGATGGCAAAAATACTCCAATTGAATTTAAGTGAAGTGAGAAACACCTTTTTCAAAGGATGCTATTTACAGGTAGTTCATTACTCATCTGAATAGAAATAGGAAAGTAAACAAATGAAATGGTCCTTAAAGGCCATAAGATAAAAGGAGATTTATCACAAATTTCATATTTTAAAAAGGGAATCAAATATTTTCTATATTTTTTTCTGACTCTGGTGTTCTGAAAAAATATGGAACATTCATTAGATAGAAATATATCTATTGCATAAAATCATTAGGCTGGGGTAATGATGCTCTTCTTTAGTATGAATTTTTACTAGTAATATGGAAGGTATTTTGGTATATAGAATAGTAACAATGAAAAACATGAAATTTAAAAGTTGTTTCTACAGTTGATCTTCAATTAACAATTTTCACAGCATGAAGATAACATTTGGTTGTTTCAAAAACATTTGGTTGACTAGAAAAACAGTGCATATAACCATTTTAGAATCAATTTTGATAATTGTCGCATAAAAGATATACTGCTAAAACCACAGGTCTAACATTAAAATACTACAAAGATTATACACTTGAAGAATAGAATAAAAATGAAAGTACGATTTTTTGAGGGACTTCTATGTACCAGTCACTGTTTTAAAAATGTATTAGATACTTCTTTTAAAAAAAAAAAACACTCTAACAAATTTCTGTGATTAGAGTTAGAATAGTCTTGTGGTTTCAGAAATTAGGTAAAAATGGTGGAAGATTTGAATGGTTATAATTCATCGATGCAACCATGCTGTATAAATATTATACATGGATTGAAAATGGTAACAGAAGTCTGAGTTAACTTGTGATGGGAACAATATTCACTATTGTTAAAATCAGTAACTTTGATTTTGTGCATCTGTATTTGAGTAATAAATTTTAGCCATGTAGCATGCTTGGCAATTGAAACTCCTAGAACACAACCATCTGATTTTGATAACATGTTATTTTTCTTGTCCTAGACTGATTCCAAGACATCAACTATTGAAATCTGCAGTGAGATATAACTTTCTAGGAACAACATAATTCCATTCCCCTTCCAAAAATTCCAATGATATGTGACTTAAAATTTTGGTTAAGATAATTAATTTTGTAATCTGGATTTCCCATTATAAAGGCAAGCAAAACAAAAATCACCTTAAAAACGGCATGCCACTGAATCTTATGCTTACGTTATCTCTGTGCAAAATTTTAAATTTGTGGAAGAAACAGTGCAGTGTAATGAAAGTTTTTTCATACTGTTTCTCCTTTTGCTTGCTCCAAATGTCAACAAACTTGATGCAATATAATGGTGTCTTGGGTTATGAACTGGTGGTTAATGTATTGATTATGAAGCATGGAATTACTTGCCCTATCTGATTGCTGAAGAGTTTAAACATCATCTCTGGGAGTTTGGAAGTGAAGCTGAACTATCCAAGCTACCCTCTGAAAGGTATCCAGGGCAAGAGATTTTTTTAGAGACCAGAAAACAAAAACAAAAACAAAAAAACAAGAAAACACTAGCTCATTTTCTAAAAAAAAATTCACTAATACGGTGTTGCTGAGAAAGTGATTAAAACCACCCATCACTCTGCTTAAAATCTGGATGATAAAAAATAATCTTATTGGATTTCTATGTTGATTGTAATCATGTTGTTCCACCACTTTAATCATTAAACAATTATTTTTGTGGTAATCAAATTTTCTTTTTCTATAAATATTGAAAAAAACATTCTTTCTACTTTTATCGGCCAAAAGAAGAATGTAAAGTTCTTTATACTCCCTGATATTTAAAAAATATTTATTGATAGCTCTTGCATAATGAAACATAAATCCAGTCTATGTAAGTAGGAACAAGGATTTAGATAGGATATTTTAAAATATTTTATCTTAATTTTGAAACTACTTAGGTAAATTATAAGGTACTAGAGTCACATCTAAATAGTCACATCTATTTTATTTCTCTGACATTAAACTACAAGTATATTTCATTACTTTGAGAAATTTGAATCAACTAATCTTTCACAGTATGTTGATTAAGTCACTTCCTATGCAAATGACTAAATGCCTCAAATTGGGTATATTTTATTGAGGAAAGAATGACTAGTTCCAATGTTACACTATATTCTTTAAGCTGCTTATGACTTGATAGCACTAACAGAATTTTTTTTTAAAACTTGATTTCTTGGGACAAGGGGAGTATAAAGGACCCTTATAATCATGACATAGCACATGTTTCCTGGATTTTCATTCAAATGATTTATTGTGTATAATTTTACCTTGCAAAGTGGGAATAGGATTTGATCTATTATGTATGAACATTATATTAGTATATAATTTGGAGTTTTCTTTGATGTAAAGGTATTTAGAAAAGGTATATGCTCTATTTAGCATTTGTATCAGTGTAATTCTTGGATATTTGATATGTAGGTAATAGTTTTAAAGAGATTTCTGTTAAAATTTAGTGTTTCCGTTTACTCAGTACAGAATTTCTTGTACCTTCAATGTCAAGTTCTTTGAACATACTTCTTTTTAAACGTTAGTTAACTATAATGACTGTGAGTGTAACTGTTTTACTGGTAATGTGAAATATCATGTAAGTTATAATATTGTATCACATATTTATAAACATCTGTTGTAGGAAAATACTTAAAGTTTACCTTTGTGAAAGTTTTTCATGTAGAATAACTTCATAACTCCTCTCTCATTTCTTCCTAATAAATTAAATATTTAAGTTTAATTCACATCATTTCAAGGAATGTCAAAATTGAGCTAACTTACTATACCCCCAGGAATTAGTGCCCTGCAGATACCAAGATGTACTAAGAGTAGGAGTTTCCAAAATCCATAGTTTAAATTTAACTGTGAATAAAATGATGATACCCAAGAAAATGAATCAGTATTTCAAATGTCCCATAATAAACCACTGTGGCTTCATGACAATTTGCATATAAAATTATTATGTAAATGCATTTTAAATGCTTGTGTCATGACCACCCTGGTCTAGCCTTTCCTGCACACTCTGTGAGCTAAGGGAGAATATCTCCTTTTTCTTCCACTTCAGTGACCCTTTCCTTTATGCTGTAATAAGAAAAAGTCCTAAGTACTTCTTTGTATATGTATATGAAGACAAAAATGTTTTGTAGTAGTTATCTAGGGTCTAAAAAAATCCTCAATAATTTTATGGGTGTTGAATTTACAGAAGATGAAAATAGAAACTTTATTTTTAAAGCTGCAAGTGAATCCATCTCTCAGAATACAACTGTGAAAAAGGAACTTCACAATTAATTTTTTTCCTGCTCTTTGAGGTTAAAATATTTACTTTATGTACAAACCAATGATGATTGAGATTTAACTGTATTTAAAACTGGGCCACAGTTGAAAATGGATTCTGCTTTTGATTATTAATTATGTTTATCTCTCCTTTGCTTATGTTTGAGGAAACATCATTTGAGAGCAATGTGCATAGCACTGAAACTAGTTTTCCAAAAAAGCCACAGAGAACAAAATTATGTATGTTCCTACTTGGTTCCCTCTTATCAGTTGACTTGGTGGCACTTTCAATTTAATTATTGTTATATTTACATGTTTGGCTTAGAAGTTCTCAGATATCTTCCCATTTCTTGTGTTGGTTTAATAGACTACTGGTGTTTTCCCAATGAAGAGACCTAATGGTCTCTCTGGTTCTTATTCTACTCAGCAAATAGAGAAAGACAGAAGAAATGCAAATCTTAAAACTAGTTGTCATAGATAAAGAAAAGGAACTTTTGGTTAACTTAATCTATTGAATATTAAGTAGACTGTATAATTGATGAACTACAATGTGCTCTATACTTTCACCCCTGCAAACACTCAGAGAAGTCTTATTTTCCTTTTAAAAAATCTACAGTGCATAAATTGAAAAAAGGAAAATCTAAAATGCATTTCCTCACTTTACTTTAAATATAAAAGTTTATTTTCAGAAGTAGGATATTCGAGCCATTACATTTCTTAAGTTATTTTTATTTTCAAATATTTAAATTTTAAAATTTATAAAATAGTTTGAATTATATCTGTTAACTAATCTTGTATGTATACATCTTGTTTTCTGTGTTGTCCACCCTGTCCACATTATCAATGAGAATACATATATTTTAGAATTTTTAAAAGTTGAATTTAGATTCAGTCAATAAACCACTATTTTGTACAATATTTACTAATCTTTTCATCCACATAAAGTAATACTGCTTCCGTTTACTATTTTGCTGCCTGTACTCGTTACTGTTTAATTAGATTTTGTAATTGTGTGTCTAGCTAGGTGTGATATGAAGCCCGATCTTAACAGAAATGCTACAGGACAAGCAGATCTTAAGAAATCTTATATGAATTTAAGCCACACTCTGTAAATACTTTCTATAAGTGCTCTTGTGTAATAGATGTATTTTCTTAGATTTTGTGAAGCTTAGCTTATGTTTGTTTTAAATATTATTTATATTTAAGTTTCTAGCATATTCAAAGGTGCTGTGATAATATCAAGCGGTATGGGTTGTATATAATTACTATTTTTTAAAAGAACTATGTGCAATTTGTTTTTTTGTGCATTATGGATGTTCATATGTGACATCCATGGTTTTATGTGGTACTCAGAATTAGGAATAGACTTTAAATTCTAGAGTAGTCATTGGCCCTTATTTCTATTGTCATGCAATACTTTTCAGTGTAGAAAGATTTAGGAAAGTGGAGATAGATTTTAGATCAAGAATTTTAAATTTATTTGTTTTTATTTTAAACTATATTACTAAGATTCTCTTTACAACTTAATTAGTAATTCTGTTTAAAGGCTGTATAGCCATTGGAAGTGGTGCACTTTAAAATTACAGAATTTTTCTGTTCTTTTTCTATTATAAGCTATCCATGCAGGATTGTTTACACATAGTAATAATTGATTATTATACATATTGTTTATTTTTATAGATGTATGATTGAACAAATTCATGCAATAGTATAGCTTGATTAGTTGATAGTGTAATACGCATACTATATATCTCCACCATGAAATTAACCTCTCAGTGAAAATATCAAGTCTGATGGAAAAGCTTTTTTAGTTAAAAAGAATGTCATCTAAATTTCTGACAAAAATTCCTCAGAAGAAACAACTAAGTTATTTAATTATTTCCAAGAAGTCACACAACTAAGTCTTACCTTATTCATGTTCTAGATATTCTCAATTAAAATTGCCTTAACTGTTTCTTCTGAAGAAATTATATTTAATTATTCATATATACACAGTTACTATCCATTAGGAGTAATTTTATTTTTTGTCAAGAGAAGAAAATCACAATCCAATAGGTTTCAGGTAGTCAAATTGATTTATAATGAAAAACTATTTCAATGGCTGTCTTAGAAATATCTGCGTGTCCCTTGTCCTGGATCCTTGTATTTGTTATTCATTTATTTACTTCATAAAATGTTATTATCTTTGAAACACAGTTTAAAAAAGCATTTCCATTCTTTTTGTCTTAACACTTGGCAAAAGCATCAGCTAACAAAATTTTTTCATTAGATACTCAATTAGAGAAAAATTTAAATACTACTACTTTTAGTCTATTTGATGGTAGAAATTAACTCTGGTAGAAAAAAATATTTTCCACAAAATAAACTTTAAAATGTACTTATTTGCTTTATTACATATCAGTTCTACTTCAGTATCAAAATCAGTGCAAATCACCATTTCAGTAATACATTATAACTGAAGTGAACTGTTCATAAACACTTTTACCTCACATAAAAATAGTTCCAGTAATTGAAATATGCAGCTTGAATAGTTGCTCAGTGTCACAATCGTGAAATAACTCAGATTAAAAAAAAAACTGACCAGCTCTTTTGGTATGTGAACACAGACCTAATCTCATATTCAAGGTGAGAAAAAGCTCACAAAAATGGAATTACCTGGATTCTGGCAACTAATCTATGAGTTCTTAAGTGAAAGATTATATTTCATTATTAATTTTATTCCTTTCATCATATCATACAGAACTATGTATTAGATGCCATTTTTGCAGAAAATTGGGTACATTATGTATGCTGTTCAGATTGAATAATTACATTTTTCTCACACAAATGCAGCTATTGAAGAAAAGATGTTGAGTTCTCTTATAGATAGGTATCATGGCTTTGTCTACATGATACCAAAACATCTGGAGGCAAAATACAACTTCTCACTCAACATGGGGATATTTTTTCCTACCTGACAAATTGTCTGACTTTATAAAGATACAAACTTTAATATTATGGAATAATATTATAACTTTCATTTTACGTAGGAAAAAGAGTTTGGCATGCTATATAAAGTTATCATTATCTGAACTAAGAGTAACTGTTAACATTTAAGAGCAAAATTACACATGGTGCTACAATTCAACTTTATCCATATAAAGTTTATTTGTTTATAAAGCTTTACACACATTTATTTCAAAATGCACATAAATTATAAAAGTGAGGAATGTACAACTAAGTTTAGGTGTGAGAATTGAAAGGTAAACATACTAAACTCTAGAAATCATATGCCTAATTGTGTGTCTAGAGGAAAATTCATTTTAACTTGATGTTTAAGTAATTGAAGTATAGTGGAATTAAAATGGAATAGTGTATGTATAAGCTCACATGTTTGCACATATGTGTGTATATTTATGTTTGCCAAATTTCTGGCAGAAAAAAGCTATTTAAACTTCAACCTAAGTACAATTTGTTCAAAGGTTATACATCTTCATTTACAATATTTTTCTCTCTCCCTTTAAGCCCTTATGCCTCACTTCCAAACTATAATCACCCTTATATCATCCTATACATTACCTTTTATTTAATAAAACTCCTGTCATATTCACTGCATTCAGAATATGTGCCATGTGAATTTTTGCTTTTATTCAAATTATTTTGCTTCATGCAACTGCAGTACTTGTTTTCATAAAGTTTCCCTGTTTTCTGAATGACCATATACCCAGTAACATTATATTACACATTAAAAAGTTAAATTGCTTTTTCCTGTATAAGTAGTATTGCAGATTCTACTTCTTTTGCATGAAAAAGGCTAAGATAAATTTTCCTTCAGTAATAGTCAATCCCTCTTAGTTGGTATAAGTAAAACATATACCAAAAAGTCCATTAAAATAATCTTCCTTATTTTTGCATTAATACATTACTTAATTTTAATACCTATGAAACCATAAAAAAGACAAGTAGTTCTCTACACGATGTCAGATTTTTAGTTTCATGTCTTTAAATTTGTTGGTTTATGTTTCCATCAAAAGACTGAGATATGGATTTTCCATAAACATATACATACCTACCCATGTATGTATATACACACATACATTTTCATAAACAGCTCAATGTGAACTACAGATAGACATAAATAACAGAAATATTTATAAGGATAGGGTCAGTGTTCAGATTGGGCAATGTGTACAATTCATTATCATTTCTGCTTTTGACTGAAGCTAATAGTTAAGATTGGCAATTGAAGAAAACCTGTGTGATATTAAAATTGTCAATATTTAAAATATGAGAGCATTCACAACAATTTTGAAGTTTTATTTTTGCTTTGCTATTTGTAGCTGTAGTTATAAAAAAGATAAAGTTATAGTGTGAATATATTGGAATGAATATTACAGAGCATCTTTTAACTGGAATAAGTGTAGACATTAATACTGGTTGTATCTGTTGTAATTTCAGTGCATAAAGTGTGTGTAATCTGTATTAAGTGAAATACCTATAAATAAAGTTGTTTCTGCATTGCAATAACATATTTTCTGATTTTTTTGAAGTGCTTATTGTCAGCAGAGGCTATCAATTTCATTAACATCATCAAGGAACCTAAAATAATTTTTAGCACATCAACATCTCACAGTTTCATGGTATAACTCATTATCTGTGTTGTATTAACCAGAACTTCATATATTGGCATTCCTGTTCACTAACATTGGGAGCTAACTGGTCTTTTTCTATTAATCAAAAGCACTGAAGTAGATAGAAGACTCATATTTACTGAAGTTTTAGTTTTGTACATTTTATTGTACTCAAATTCTTTGAACAGTGGTAATAAGCTATCATTTATTAATCACTGTATTTCATAGAACATGCTAGATAATAGAGTTTGCCATGAGTTCAAAACAAAATAGTTAAATATTTCTCATACTCCTACTATGAGCAAAGCAATGTGGATAATGATGTTGGTTAGGGTGAACAATGAAGTATAGAGGGGTAAGGATGTGGGACAATCAAGGTTCTCCCCTGGTTGCTGTTAATTTAAAAAAATCCTTGCTCAAAAAGTTTAAACAAGTATGTTTTTAGAAATATTTCATATTTTCCAGTGCAGAATATTCCTGAGTATACCAGGTTAAAGAAGATAAGGAAAAAATGAAAAGAAAAAATGAGTGTACATAAAAGTGACAAAAATCTCAGATTTTGTCATAATAATTAGAAGTGTGTATGTGTGTGTGTGTGTGTGTGTGTGTGTGTGTGTGTGTGTGTGTGAATACAGGTAGCAAAGTACTTCACGAGTATCTATTAGGTATTCATTCCGAATTTTTTGAAATCTGAACTGAACAAGCACGTATATATCTAATTCATTTCAGAAGCATCTTAAAGTAAACACTCCCCTCTCCTCAGTCACAAACATTTAACAACCAAACCCTGTTGATCTTGCCTCTGAAATCTTGTCCCTTTGCCACTTCCTTATTTAGTTCTTCATCTGAGTTACCTGACCCACTACTAATATGTTGTCCTGCTTCCTACTTACATTTGTTCAATCCATTTCTACCCTGTACCCAGAAAACTTTCTAAAACAGATCCTATCAAGTGAAGCCTATGATAGAAAAGTTTCCTAGTCTTTCCCCATTGCATATAGAATAAAACCATAATTACCATATTTTTCAATGGATTTTACAATTTTAACCAGGTGTACTTGTTCATACTTATATTCTACTACTCTATACACTCCATGTTTTTGTCACACCTACTACTCCTTGATGCTTCCATAAATCTACATAATTTACTAAAATTATATTGAATGCTGCGTTTGATTAAGACACTGCTGTGAGGACAACAAAAAATAACTAAGGCATGGTCAGTGAAGTAGGACTGTGGAGATAAGGCAAGAAAACATACTTTTAGTATCCAAGAGAATATGACAAAAAGAAAGAATGTTGCCTGTGATTTCATCAAAAATGAAATAAGCCTGGATGATGCTCTTTTCTTTGATATCTTTTCTGTTTCTTAGCATTAACCTTACATAATTCTTGTAAAATTAAAAACTTCAAGTTAATGAGTTGGTCATATAACCTTTCAAACATTGTTTCTGGAAAATGTTTCCAGAAAATTGAAGTTATATCATTTTTCTTCATTAATCTTAGAAAGATTTTTAAAAATTTACCTCAAATTTTTTTTATTCTTGTTACATTTCCTGTCTGTGAGTTGCCCTTAAAAAGTCTCAAAGGAAAAACTACCCATTTGTTGATATTAATATAGTCTGTGTACAGTGAGAGCAGAGAACCACGTACTGCTTTAGACATTTTAGCAAAAGAAGCATCTCACTGTGACACTTATTCAACAGAAAATACGGCAAGTAAAAAGTGCTCTTGTCCTCAGTAGAGGAACATTTCCATGGTGAATCACGATAAACAGATATTGACACTCTGGCTAAAATGTGCTTATATATCCGTCAATACTGTCACTGAAGTACTAAGATGACATGGTTATCCAATATAGAAATTATGTTACTCTTTTGCCCAGGCTGAAAATCAAAGTTATTAATCTGTGAAAACAGAAGCAGATGGAGAAGATCATGGGCTATCAAATGTAGGTAATACCCAAATTATAACATGGTAGAATTACCCTGAAAATTCAGAAACAGCATATTCCTCCTTAAAATAAGAGCGTGTATATCTTTAAGGAATGCACTTCTTGGCACATATACTGAAAGCAAATACACTACCTGCTTCCTAGAAATAGATGATATGAAAATAAATGACATAGCTCTTAAATTAGACCTTTTCTCTTTTGTCCTTATTATGACAGAAAATGTCTAAGTTGCATGCAGGGAACATCCTTGGAGATTGGGTTTTGTTTTGGTTAGTTTCTCTTTCATATGTTTCCTAGACAGTCTTATATCAGGATGCTGGAATGCCAACATACTATAAAACATTTCCACATTACCTGGTGATGGCTTAAAAAATTCATTACTTATTTTACCACTTTTTGCAATGAGAATGAACATCATCATAAGTGGGGAAACAATGGGTTTTTATTTTTAGCTCAATTATAATTACTGAGAGTTTTCCAACCATCCCAGATAAAAATAAAAGCAACTACTAATACTATTAGAGTCAAAGCCAGAGGCTGTTTTCTTCAGTGAATATCCCTTGGGAATATAGGGCCATTATGAAGGGGTAGAAAATTGGATATAAAGGGAGGGCTAAGGCCTCAATAACATGAAAACCTTGTAAGAGTAGCACATTGTCACATTCCTGGTAAACAAACTTTCCCTCATGTTTGCATGTTTTTAAATATTTTTTCAAGTATTTCTATCAGGGCAGTGAAAAGATTATTATTCATAAAACATACGCCCTCTGATTATTTTTTAATCTGATATAGCCAAAAAGTATTTTTTACAGATTTATTTATCAGATACAATTTGATCTAGAATGAATCTAACTCAAATATTGCCATAGCTATATGCCAAATCTGCCTTAACTTGATTCCTACTGCAAATGTCTCTGTGCTTGTTCATGAAATTTCAAATTTACTGGTGCATTTTTGTTTTTGTGGAAAAAATTCTATATCAATTCTCATATGAAAACCTAAGAGAAAAAAAACTTGTCAACTACTCCTTTCTTCTGGAGTTTGGTCTGGCATGTGGAATGTGTTAGAAGCCTAGACTGACTACCATATATGTATGGGAAGTCTTAGACCCACTGAGAGAGCCTTGCTTTCCTAACACATGAAACATGCTGTAGTTCAGTTGCTCTATTCTCTGGGCAACTTTTTTGGCCCCTTGTTCAGACAGGGACAAGTATCTTGTCTCTTACCTAATCTCTGTCAATCCAATAGGAGAAAAAGCCTGTTACCTAGGGACAAAGTGGCCCCTTTTACCCTGGAAAAAAGCTCTCCGACCATTCTGTCTTTATGATAGGTTTTTATGTGTCTTTCTTAGTAGTATCACTTTATGGTGTACTTCATTCAAATCACCTGAACTCTCTCATTCCCAAAGCAGTGATCATGACACTCATTACAATGTAAATGTGCACTGTGTGGAGAGTAAAGTTTATTTACCCACATAACCTGCTATTCTGAAATTACATTTTTCACACAGAGAAGTAGTATAGTTTGCAAAACTAAAGCAACAAGGTGTTGACACCTGTGAAAAAGAGATTGAGACACAAGGAGAGGGTGCTCATATTGAAAAAACAAAAGCTAAACAGGAAAAAAGAAAGGTAGTAAGAGTCAAAGGTTAAAACCACAGATTTCTCTTTATTACTTTCCAAGTTTAATTTATATCTTTTGTAATTTGCCACTCTTGGATAATGCTTTCTATTGGTCCTTGCACAAATGAACATTCCAAAAAAGTTCATATATTCATCCCCCAAGGTTTTACCCTTTCTCTCTTCTCTGGCAGAAATATCAAATAGTCATATATATTCTGCCTGAAGTTGCAGAAAGTCCAGAAAGATCCCCATATAGGTTCAATTCTCATATAGATCTAGACATATATAATACTAATGTTATAAATGTATATAAACACACACATGTATATATAAAGTGTGTACATATATATGTTATGTATATAACACATGTATATATATGTATACACATATGTATATGTACATATATATATACACACACGAACACTAAATAGAGTTAACAAAACTTAAATTCTAATTTGAAAAGAAAAACTAAGAAGGTGAAGATTATGTTTCTCCAACGGTAACATTTTTGTTTTGAATTTGGGTAAGCATTTTACTTGAATTATTTGAAAATGCTTTTTTACTCTTCTGGTTTATCATATTGAAAAATCTAATTCCCAGATCTGTAGTATTTCCTAAAACCTTTATAAGATGTGTTGTTTCATCTGGGATCTGCTTCTTTTTTTTTTTATTAAGGTATCATTGATATACACTCTTATGAAGGTTTCACATGAAAAAACAATGTGGTTACTACATTTACCCATATTATCAAGCCCCCACCCATACCCCAATGCAGTCACTGTCCGTCAGTGCAACAAGTTGCCAGAGATCCACTATATCCCTTCTCTATGATACACTGTTCTCCCTGTGACCCCCCACACCATGTATACTAAACATAATACCCCTCAGTCTCCTCCCTCCCTTCCAACCCGCCTTCCCATACTCCTCCCCTTTTGTAAACACTAGGTCATTCTTAGAGTCTCTGAGTATCCTGCCATTTTGTTCCTTCAGTTTTGCTTCATTTTTATACTCCACAAATGAGGGAAATCATTTGGCATATGTCTTTCTCCGCCTGGCTTATTTCACTGAGCATAATGTCCTCTAGCTTCATCCATGTTGTTGCAAATGATAGGATTTGTTTCTTTCTTATAGCTGAATAGTATTCTATTGTATATATGTACCACCTCTTCTTTATCCATTCATCTACAGATGGACAATTAGGTTGCTTCCGTATCTTGGCTATTGAGAAAAGTGCTGTGATGAACATAGGGGTGCATATGTCTTTTTGAATCTGAGAAGCTGTATTCTTTGGGTATATTCCAAGAAGTGG